CACTTAAACTACTTGATAATGTTTGAAATATTATTACGATCAGCTAAATAATGTTTCTTCTTTCTTATAAAGAAATAAACTTCTGAACATAGACAGTCTGACTGATATCACGGAATCGCATCCAGTCAGGATAATGATATTGCGTCTTTTTCGATGTTACAGCATGGAGATAAAACTTTTTAAAAGATAAAGGAAGCGAGTTCTTGAGTCTACACCTCGGATCGGCAAACGTAGTGTAGGATGCCCTGTGGCAAAATGGAGTGACGGATTACTAAAAGCTGCTGGCAGTTGATGGATGCTGACGACCAGGCGAAATGACGTTTTTTTTTCAAAATTGTCAATTTTCTGACAGGCTCAAGTGTTCTCTCTAATGTAAAAAGCGTAAAAATTACAAAGCCGCGAGTCCGCCATTTTGATTAGGTACTTTAAATAATAACTGCCTCCGTGGCCGAACGGTTACCATGCCGGACTGCCACGCAGAGGTCCCAGGTTCGATTCCCGGGCCGGGAGAAATATTTGTATGACCTACATTTATTTCTCTCGTGAGTTTGGGTGTAATTTGTGGTTGTCTATGTGTGTGTCCATGGCACCCGCGACACAGGGTTTCCCTAGTGCGGGGCTATGTTGAGTGTGTGCGTTATTATTATTTCATGAATTATGAATATGATACGTTTATTTTAAAAATAAAATGATTAGAATTAGTAATATATTAACTCTAAATTAATTTACTTTTCATTTTCTGTCTTATTTATTCTATGTAATAGGAAAGTGGTAAAATGCTCTTTACATCTTCAATTATATGGTAGGTACGTGTGACATAATATACAAAGTTTAAAAAAATTAATTTTCTGTAGTATGATTGTTATTAGGATTCCAAATGTCGGGAGCGCACTTCCCAGAACACGCAGGCCAGAATCAATTTAGAAAAATCAGTTTCCCAAATTACTCCTACCGGGAATCGAAACAGGAACCTCCTTATTCAGCGTCCACAGTGCAAACCGTGTGTTGCAGTAAATGTCTATTCAATTCTATTCTAATTTACAGGCAGTGGCAGTGACCCTCAAATCTTTGCAATTTAAAGCTCTGATTGACACTGCAACTGCCATGAACAGGCGTGTCGCTTACCAACAGGAGCACCACGTCGCATCACTTGGTAACATAAAAAAAAAATAGTGATAATTATAAAATAAACTCTGTCCAATAAAAAATAAAAGCATCAGCAATTTTCTGGCTTTCAGGCTTCACCTGGAATTCGGTAGAATATAATTTACAAGTGTCTTTCCATTGGTATATACATCTATAGTACAAACCTACCATAATTACCGAAATCAAACTCGTCAACAGCAGTGGAGCTCCTTGTGAGTTCATTCAGGGAAGTACTGCCCCTTACCTATTTCTGCCGCCAAGCAGTAATGTGAGGGTGCTCGTGAAATTACAGGCACCTGGGACTTTTCAACTCAGGTCTTTGCGATTTTATACCACAAAATAATTCGAAGTTTAGAAATGGCTTCAGAAATTGAAAAACAGTAGACGCAAGTCTTTCGGGGTCACGTTTAATGTATTCAAGAACAGATAAGATTCTATTAGCACCTAGGGAAATAAGTTAAGACGTCCACACATCCTGATTTGCATACTACATGAACTAAAATAGAACCTGTTTTTACTACAAACCTACGCTACAGGTTGTTTGTTTGGTTAAAGGACAAATTATGATGGTATCGTGCATGCAATTAATTCTTAAATTGATTACGTGACAAAAGACAACAAACACGCACGTTTATAATAGTTGCAGTGCTACTAGAGAATTAAATCACAAAGAACTGAAAGTTAACTAGACCCATGTGCGTGTAATTTCACCTTCAAAACTGAAAAGTCCAATTTTGCTATTGCAATTTTTCATTGTATTATGATAATATTTGCTATTATGCTTAGGGTTTCTGTGGTGGATCGAATCCCTAACGAGGTCATACGTCAGAAAACTCAAGTGACAGACATAGCTCGCAAAAATCCAAAAAAGTGGGCCGGGAATGTCTGCAGGAGGCTTGATCGCCGATGGAGCAGACTTGTCCTGGAATGGCACGTCAAGGAAAATGTAGTGTCAATCATAAAAAACATCTTTTGTCCAAACAGATATGCCTCGCTACATAGATATTTACTTAATCGATGGGTTTGATACCTGTAAATCTGAAAATATGAATTTCCGTACCTATATAATTCGAGTCATCCGTAGAACAAAGATCTACGTGCAAGACTTGAACATAGTACATTTCGTTCGTCCTTCTTCGTTGTGGATGTTAGATCGACCGTTGTTCGAATTTATATTTCCGAAACAAGATATATAAATTATCAAAACACCTTTACATAAGTCTGACTTTGAATAACGAAATTATTGTCGTAACGTATTTATTCTCTTTTCGCTATATATTCTCATCGGACTTTGTTCTTCGAATGCGTCGTATATTCATATTTGGTGGCTATTGTTATATATGAATATTATGTTTGTAAACTTACATTATTATTTATATTGCTTACCTACATTACTTACACTACTTACATTATTTGCTTTACATTTTACACTTTTACTTGATAATATATTGTGTTGGCAGCACTGTGCGACTTCTCTCGGTCTACAGTATTCATGCTGAGTCAGGGCCATTTCAGCACACTACAGTTTGTGCTGAAATGGCCCATTATCATAGGTACATTAAAATTTTATCAGTTCTTATAGTATTTGTTTGTTTTTCTCACAGTATTTGTTTTATATAAATGTGTATTAAGTTAATAATGTATGTTCTATGTACTTTTATGTTATACTCTGTGAAGTGATTGCAAATGTTTTTTTTTGTTTGTATTTGTCCTGAATAAACGTGTTATCTATCTATCTAGTGTAGGACGCCCTGCGGCAAGATGGATGGACGACCTGAGAAAGGTGGCCGGCAGCGGTTGGGTGCAGGCGGCACAAAACCGGGAGAGTTGGCGTGCTCAAGGAGAGAGATACGTGTAATCTGATGATGATTGTTAAAATCTGTTTCAAATCTAGTTCCAATGGCAGTTGAGTCTCCGTTGAATGTCAGTGATGGCATATTCATACATTCAGTTACTAACGATCCTTGTTGCCTTACCAAAATTATTATGGAAACTCCTGTGGAATATACTATGGAAGCTACTATGGAAATTACTATGTATGTCTTAATTTATATTAAACATATATAAAATTAATATACTACGCCAGAGGCGTGCCACTAATTCGCCATTGAAGAATACAAAAAAAATTCAATAGCAGTTGAGTAGGCTCGTTGGCTAGCCACTGACTGACTGACTAGTGGTTTACAAGTCTTAACAGTTAGCCGACTACTAAATATAAATATAAAAAATCCTCTATCGACACACAATTAAAATGATTTTAAAATTAGCAGACTGGGGACCCTGGATGAGCTCTTTCTCTCTTACTTCATTTTTCTTTTTTCTTTCAGGAATTTACTAATATGTCTATACATGCTGGTTCACAAAGTATGTGACTCTGAATTGAATTCATTGGTACTACCTACATGCCGTTACAGGAAATTTAATCGTCGACATCGTCTGCTATGTCTACTACTTTAGATGCCTATCATGGCTACGTTGCCTCCGTACTTCGGTGTGGGCTTGTAATATGGGGAAATTCAACGGATGCAAATAAATTACTTGTAGTACAAAAAATGTGTATGGGCAATATGTGGCTTAGACTATCGCGTACACCTTTGTTCAAAACTCTTAACATACTACCGCTGCCTTGCATGTACATTTTCGAAGTGTCTATTTTTGTCATTAACTTTTTAAAAGGACATGGGCCGTTCACAATAGTAATGTAAGGGACCCAGACAGATTGGTCACACTAGTGCCAAATTAAGTTACTACCAGAGACAATCTGGGGCCATGTGTGTGAATATATGTAATACACACACACGCACGCACGCACGCACGCACGCACGCACGCACGCACGCACGCAC